AACGCCCCTACCTTATCTCTATAGTTTACAATTCCCTTATAGGTTTTATTTTTGTTTCGTTTAGAGAGCCGTTTACTACACAGGGTTATTGGAATCGAGAATAACAGAAGGTAAAAGAATGTTAATTGTGTTGTCTCTCAATGTGGGATACTCCTGCCTAACACGCGGCCAAAACTTAGAAATAGTGCCTGGATCAGCTGTTTGTTACAACATACCGTAACCTGATAAGCGAGTTGCTCTTGTTCAGATGTTGTTGTCCTCCTCCAAAAGATAGTTTACTGTAGTAGCAAATGATTTTTTTTTATCCGTTCAAATTTGTTAACATTTGTGTCTTTTAAATAAAATTAAAACATCTTCTATAAACAATTAAATTTTTCAATAAAAAAAATCATTGCTGGTTTCCTTCTCATTACTATCAAGAAATTTGTCTGATGTAGGGAACATGTGAAAAATTTTCAGTTCTAAACATTTTCCATAATTTTAGTTTCTCCATCCAAAAGGTCGCTCTCCTCTAGCCCCAGCTCCCCCCCCCACAGTAAGAGCCCCCCCCACTAGTAAGAGCCCCCCCCCACTAGTAAGAGCCCCCCTCCAAGCCACTGGTACGTCACCCTACCCTCAGCTCCGCAATTTGAAAAGACAAGAAGGAACACGTCCAATACGCGGGTAATTGGAGTCCATCCCTTACCCCTCGCCACATCACTCACAGCCACAAACTCAATCATTTAATTCATTTACTCGAGACTGAAACAGCTACAGTGACCTTATAATTAGCTTGGCGCACGATGCTGTTACCTGTAATACTTGTTAAGAGACCTGGCTGTCTAGCGAGATCCTCTTATCTTGTCCCAGAATAACAAGATACAGTGACAACAACCAGGCTGAGTAAACAAGGTGGTTAGTGTCGCCTGTAATTCTGTATCACTTCTGCATCTTTATATCTATGTATATTTCTTATGTCTATGTATATCTCCAGTATCCATATATACCACACCTTATGTACCCCCCTATAACCATGTATACCATACCTCCTGTTTGTATGTATATGGCAGGTATAACTGTAGTGACAGCCTCCAAAGCTCCTATGATCACCGAGAGTCAAAATTCACTCCTTAAGAAAAACACCCGCCTCTCACAAACGGCTCCAGCGATACTTTAATGATGTTTTCATCTATTGAGACGGAAACTGTTTACATAAGAAGACCCTTAACCTTTTGTATTCATTCTTATAACAACCTAACCTAACCAAACCAAACCTAACCAAACCTAACCTAACCTAGTGCCATCTTCCCCCCCTCCCCCACTCCCCACTCTATTCCTCCCTCCTTACTTCCTCCTTCACCCTCTTTCATTCTCCCTAGCACTCTTCCCTTCCCCCTTCCCTACTACTCTTCACTCTCCTATCCCTATTCCCTCCTACACTAATCTCCCAATAACCTTCCCCATTCTCCACCCTCTTCCTCCCCCCCCCCCTCACTCTCCCACAATAAACCAACCTCTTGATGTTTCCCTTTGTGAGGTTATTGAGGTCTGTCTGTCTCTGTCTGTCTGTCTGTCTCTGTCTGTCTGTCTGTCATTGTTTCTGCCTCATTGCCTATCTGTCTCTGTCTGTCTGTCTGTCATTGTTTCTGTCTCATTGCCTATCTGTCTCTGTCTGTCTATCTGTCTGTCCTTGTTTCTACCTCACTGCCTATCTGTCTGTCTGTCTGTCTGTCTGTCCTGTTTCTGCCTCACTGCCTATCTGTCTGTCTGTCTGTCTGTCATTGTTTCTGCCTCATTGCCTATCTGTCTCTGTCTGTCTGTCTGTCATTGTTTCTGTCTCATTGCCTATCTGTCTCTGTCTGTCTATCTGTCTGTCCTTGTTTCTACCTCACTGCCTATCTGTCTGTCTGTCTGTCTGTCTGTCCTTGTTTCTGCCTCACTGCCTATCTGTCTGTCTGTCTGTCCTTGTTTCTACCTCACTGCCTATCTGTCTATCTGTCTGTCTGTCTGTCTGTCTGTCTGTCCTTGTTTCTGCCTCACTGCCTATCTGTCTGTCTGTCTGTCTGTCTCCCTCTCTGCCCATAAGCATAAGGGCTACAGGAGTCAATTAGGGGTGTAGGGTGCTCAGCTTTGCTTCTTGGGCCTCTATATCTTAATGATCCTCTCGTCTTAACGGACCCCAACCTTACGGGACCCCAATATATTAATCAGCCTCACAAAATTTAATGAGCTATGATGATGATGATGATGATGATGATGCATAATGATCCCAATTGTAATGAGACCCCAATCCTTAATGACGTCTATTCCTAAAGGTCAAATAGGGTCAAGTTAGGGATCCATTGGAACTAAAGTCCTTCACCAGCCACGACTCCCAAGTGCTTTCAGTCATCCAATTTTGACTCCACCTCCGACATTCCTTCCAAGAAATCATCACATTAAGAGTTCTTCCGCGTCTCTTGATTCAAAGGGGTCTCCCTCCCCCCCCCCATCGTCTCTCTCTCTCCTTCATCATCTCTCTCTCTCTCTCTCTCTCTCTCTCTCTTCTTCCTCCCTTTCTTCCACGTGCTCTTTCCTATTCTCCTCTTCTTCCTCCTCCTCTTCCTCCTCCTCCTCCTCCTCTCCCTCTTCTAGTCCTCGTCCGCATTTTCTCCTCTTCCTCCTAATTCTCCTGAACATTCTCCCCTTTCTCTTCCTACTCTAAAGAAGAAGGCATTTGCCACACTCTCATATCCCGGGGTCATATTAGCTCTATTCCCTCCACAATATCCTCCCTGGCCCTACAGAAGCTTGTTAGCCTCCCATCTTATGAATCCTGGACTCTCTCTCTCTCTCTCTCTCTCTCTCTCTCTCTCTCTCTCTCCGATATCAACACCCTTAGATTCACGACCCGGAACCTAACCTAACCCCACCCTAAGGTAACCCAAGTGGACTTGATTTCATCTAACTTAACCTAGCTAACAAACTAATTCTATTATTTTAACTTAATTTAAAATAACGCCAATGAATCCTTAAGGCACCTAACCTATTATAAACTACCCTAACTTAACCTAGCTGACCTAAACTAACTCCTAAACAAACCCCATAAGCCAATTCTGACTTAATTTAATCCTAATCTAACCCTAATCTAACCCTAGCCTAGCCTAACCTAACTCAAAGAAACCCCAAAATCAACTCCATTCGCCGCTCTAATGAGAAGAATATTCGAATCGGATTCATAGTTAAGATTCGGATATTCGTTTGTACGAGAAAAGTGCATTAGGTTGGCTGACGAGTTCTCACCAGCTTCCGTATTGCTGCTGGTTCTGTGTCAACGCCCTCCCACCTCTTACGTTCCCGACTTTTGCATTGAATTTCTTACCCAAAATAAACTCAAAATAACAAATTTGAATATATAAGACGTTGGAATAACTTCTGGAGATATGAGATGGCGTGAATAAATTGGTAGATACATATACATGAATAAATTTTGATATATATGATACCGAAATAATCTAACAGAACACTTGAATAATGGAATTCTTCATTTCACGGGGAGTGCGATGACCTCTAGTGAATACGACACTCAACTCTATTCTAAGACTATCTGGCTCGATAGCGGGGTACTCCAAGTCCACCCAGCTGTAAATGGGTTAGGAACTTTACAATTGTTGACAAGGCGAAGCCGATGAAGTGCAGTGTTAGCCAGGCTGCCTGTTTTGCATACCGAAGATCTCAATGTTTTCTTCTCTACACTGTCCCTTCACGACCAGTCATGCGTATGGGATCTATTTACCACATCTAGTGATTCCTTACCTTGTGAAATGCAACGAACTGTTTAATTATTATTTGCTTACCAGGGAAAAACCTATTGTCAATTCCCTAGACTAAAAGAGACACCGAGGCAGACGGATATCCTAGAACAGTCATGGTAAAAATAAAGGAAGGGAGCAAGGTGTTCATGTGGAGTGTTAGGTTAGGTTAGGTTTTAATCCAAGTATTTTAACTTTGGTTAGGGATAGGTTTTGTTGGGTTAAATTGAATTTGATTTTGTTAGGAGTAAGTTAGCTTAGATTAGTGTTAGGTTAAGATAGGTTACGTTTCGTTACGAGTAGATTAGGAGAGGTTGAGTTTGGTTACGAATGAATTAGGTTAGGTTAATTTTGGTTATTCTTCGAGTAGTTTAGGTTAGATTAGGTAAGAGGCTGTTTACAGTAGGTTTGGTCCACTATCCAGGTCAGGTACGAGTGAAGCCTTTTTTGTACGGGTTAGGTTATTGACTCCACCCAATTTCAAGCCAATTGAAGCGAGCTGAGGATAAACAGGACAACAGTGTGGGGATATTTTCTCTGTTTCTCTCTCTCTGAGAAAACTACCTTTTTAAGTAGTTTTACACGTTCTAGTTTTACCATTGCATATCATGTTTATATATATATATATATATATATATATATATATATATATATATATATATATATATATATATATATATATATATATATATATATATATATATATATATATATATATATATATATACTGGATATATCGAAATCAGCAGAATTTAAATCCTGTCGACCTGCATTTAAAATAAACTTTATGTAAACCGGAATTAACCTCGACGTTATGTAAACTGGAATTAACTTTAATCAGCTTATGTAAACAAACGTACATACAGTACCTGCCTCTCTGGTTCGCCTCTTACATGATTTATATCTTTTCAGCTAATCTTCAGCCTCTGGCATGATACCAGTAAAAGCCGAATATTGAAGAGATGCTTAGCGTGTGAATGTTACAGAAAAACTCTTTCAGAAAAATGGCGTGAATAACTCGCAAAGCCAAAACTTTCTGTATGTACTTTACACACACACACACACACACACACACACACACACACACACACACTTATACATACAACAATAACATACATACACAAGTATCATAATAATAATAACACCATTCTCTTGGGTGTCAAAGAGAGAATGGTGTCGTGTATTTGATGCCCAGATCATGACCCATGACACGTACGGTATATCTCACAGGTGGTGCAGATGTTGGCGCTACTGGTCGGGGTGTTCGCTCTCTGCTGGCTGCCGTATCACGTGTACTTTATCCTGGTACACCATCACCCACAGCTCAGCACCAGACCCTACGTACAGCACATGTATCTGGCCTTCTATTGGCTAGCTATGTCCAACGCTATGATCAACCCCATTGTCTACTACCTCCTCAACGCCAGGTGAGTCGTTCATTCACACCAACACACACACACCTGTCAACACCTGAGATTATTTTCTATAATTCAACGTCTAAAGGTATGTCTTTTCACTCTCTTAAACCCTTCCTCAGATACGTAATTTAACAATTCTTTAACGCCTCAGGTTTATACATGACTGAACGTTTTTCAACTCCACGTATGTTATGCCAAGCTGTTTAACACCTCGGGTTCTTTCATTTAACATTCTTCAACGCCAGATACAGTACAAACGTTATCCCACAGTCTTCAACCCCTCAGGTAAGTCATCTCACGCATTTTTACACCTCATATGTTACTAACAATATGACACTGATCGCTATAGTCACTCAGGCGCGGCTGTTAACCTAAGTAACGTTACATATGAGATTTTCTGGTGTAGGATAGGTTAATATAGGGTTCTATGTCTGTCTGTCTCTCTCTAACCATCTGACTACCACAGTGCCCTACCTGGAGTATTGACCTACCTGACAGCTGGTTATGGGAGGTAGTGCATGACGTGGTAGTGTGCGGTAGGAATGTCGCGGATTTGATGTTTTTATAGTATAGGTAAACCCCAAAATTGTCCCAAGATATTATTGTCTTTCACCATTATACCATTTAACACTTTTATTAATGGGACGTTTATCTTGTCATTTTTGTCGCAAGGTAATTAAAGAGTTTAACCGCGACTTTGAACTGTGTGAAGTAAAGTATATAAAACTATTCAATACTGATGTAGTTCATATGTGACCAAATTGTGTAAAATTTCGACCAATAATTTAAATTTCGATCAAATTCCACATTAAAATCCCACCTTATTTCACGTGATGATTAAATACCCAAACCTAACCCAAACCTAACCCAAACCTAACCTAATCTAACCTAACCTAACCTAACCTAACCTAACCTAACCTAACCTAACCTAACCATTCTTCACCTTTCACCCCCCCCCACTCCACCCCAGGTAGCGTTAATGCATTTAATACTCAGGTGAAATAAGCTAAGACTCTCTATTCTTCAAGTGATCCGAAATTACATCAGATGAAAACTAAATCAAGCAACAACTCTTCCTACACAGATACACAGACATTCTTACCTCAATCAGCAAATCGATGTAAATATTGCAAGTTGATTGATTTGATGCAGAAACGAGCAATTGCAAGAGACTGTTATATAAAATTGGTCGTCCTTTTGGGTTGATCTAACGTAAATTGATCTTGTTTAGCTAAGATCACTATTGTAAGATCTTAATAAAACTTGTCTCTCTTGATTCATTTGACGTAGACTGGTTTACTAAATCCATAACTTAACACAGACTTATTTACTAAACCCATAACTTAACGTAGAGTGATCTTGTATAACTTGAGCTCATTAAAGTGATCTTGGCGTCCATTTCACCCTCAGGTTTAGGTACTTCTTCCGTCAGTTGTTTGCCGAGATGCAGGGGAACCTTCGTAGCTGTGTGAAAACATCTGACCCCAGCTCCTCTGACTTCTCCGCTGACGGTAAGTACTACATTATACTGTCACACACATCAACGTCTCTGTCTTATACGTCAACACCTGTCTTATACCGTTAGACGTCAACATCAAACTTGTGAATTATTTTATGTCATATGTTAGGTCAGGTTAGGTTAAGTTAGGTTCGATACCATATCTTCTTCCCTTAAATAGAGATGTGAGAACTTATCTAACCTAACCTAACCTAAACTAAACCCCACTAAACTAACCTAAACTAGCTTAACTGGTTGGTTATAAAGAACAAATATCTCCATCGTAACTAAACACAGTGTCTATTTCTCAACCCAAGCGACCCAGTCCACGCAACTCCACGTAAAAATAAACTACGAAAGAATCTTGAAATTACAGACCGCTAGTCCAGTCAACTTGTCCTCTCTTTTGTGTTGTTCTTTGCAGCCACAGTTAATCCCACAGAGTAACAACACCGTCTTGTATAAATAGAAAACAATACCAGCTGTTTCATCCGTGTCTACATCATTCACTCCTATAAAACTGGCGAGGTTATCTCTCTCTCTCTCTCTCTCTCTCTCTCTCTCTCTCTCTCTCTCTCTCTCTCATTCACTCTCTCATCTCTCTCTCTCTCTCTCTCTCTCTCTCTCTCTATCTCTCATTCTTTTTTCTCTATCTATCTCTCTATCTATCTATCTAATCTGCTTTACTCCTCTCACACATCTTTATACAGAATAGATCAAAGGAAAGACAACATCTCAGGAGAAGCTTAGGAAAGACACACTGATAAAATGTAGAAGGAACAGGGAAGGAGGGGAAGGCTGGAGGACTTACGGCGTGAAGGAAGGGTAGATGGAGGTGACTTTGCCTATAAGGAGACTGTTTTAGGTCGTGTATTCGAGTATGATATATGAATCTAACTCTTGTGTGACAGTAGAGGTGACAACAATATGATTTTCTCCTCCTCAGATGACCCCTTCGCCCTTCATCTTCAGCTTATCGGTGACCCAGGCAGGTATGTGTATAGGAACTCCTGAAGAAAGGGGACCTCACCTTATTTTACGTGATGATTTTGACACCCTAACCTAATATAACCTAACTCAAACTAATCTAATCTAAGCTAACCAAGCCTTAGTTAAGCTAATCTAAACTAATATCACATAAAATAACCTAATCTAATCTAATTTATCGTAAGTTAACCTAACCCCTCTCCTGGTAGAGTTAAGGTACAAACGTTTAATCATCAAGTGAAATAAACTGAGGTAACTAATTTTCAGTAGTTGGTCTCCATGTGTACTGTTCAGCAGACCAGAGAACATTCCAAACTTTTAATTATATCTATATCCTACGGCCACGTGGGTAATAATTGTTTCTTATATGGACAGGTGAACCTCATCTGGAAAGGTGAATGTAATACCTGGGGATATACTATTAATAGCATCCGAGACTTTCCTTTGTGGTAGTGAAATTCCTATATAGCCCGAAAGACTATTTTACCACACAGTATATATATATATATATTGATAAGTTTATAGAATATCTGGGGTTTGTAATCATTTTATCAATCTAATACGATGATTAAGACTTTTTAGTTCAATTAATTAATATAAGGTGTGTTTGATTTCCTCTCCCCCGTACAGGTGTGTGGGTGGGCGGCCGCCTCTCCTCAAACACAACAACACCGCCCACTCCCCGCTGCCGCTCTCTCCTCACCACGACCACCCAGTACTGCCATAGTTCATCAATATCTCCTTCATCACGCAACACAAACTTATAAAATATCAGCATAAGTCTTCAATATTTTTTTTAGAGGTATTCAGAAGCGCCGCCCTCATAACCTGTGACAAACGTTGTAGAGATGTTTTTTTTTTTTCATATTCAAGTTATGTTTATAGAATGTCATAGTCACTCGCTACCTCCATGACAACATTATATACATACAAGTTAAATAGATGTTTATAAATATGTCCTTAAATATTCGGTATATATAAGTCACCAAAAAATTAAACATTACAAATCCTTATCATAACTAGATTAAATATCGAGTGAATTTTCCCCACTGGATAATTCTGTACAAACTTTAAACACATATCAATAAATAATTCCAAAAATACCTGATCTATTTCTAAATTATCAAAGAATATCATAACATTTATTAACAATTATCACAACCCGATAAACACATTGTAGAAACATATATATTTTCATGAAGACATTTTTATGATTCGTTCAGCTGAATAATAAGAGTCCCCCCGGTACAACTTTTTTTTCACAAATTATAAATAACCAAATTCTATGACATACTTTAATTTCCATGAATATTTTTAAATAGATAAAAGACACATTATTTTAGGTGTCAGAAGTAAGGGTAGTATTTGTATCACTTGGTACCTGTCAGATATATATATATTTCCTTAGCGTGTCAAATAAGAGTCTCCTCATTAATGTTGCGTCACCGAACCAGTCACTCTATAGCAGTAAATCAGAGATGACGTGTGAGTTACATACGTGTTTGTTGATCTCAGTAATTACGGTTCGTGTTTCTTAGTCACCATAGTGTATATCTTTATTCTCACTATTTAACTCCGTCTATCTTTTCTATATCTAGTTTTTTTTTTTTTTTTTTTGGTGGGGGGATCACCTGAAGATTAGCCCCCCAGTTTATTTCACTTTATTATTAACCATCCTAATGCCAACCTTACTTAACCTAACCAAACTTAACCTAACCAAACAAACATTAACCTCATCTAAACTAAACTAACTTAATCAAACCTAATATATAATAACCTAACCTAACCTTACACCCCAAGTCACACTAGGGGTGTTTAATCAACAGGTGAAATAAACTAGGGAGGAGACAGGCGCTAATCTTGAGGTAATCTTTTTTTTTCTTGTCAATTGAGTTTATATTCCTAGCATTCTAACAACAACAACAACAACTACTACTACTACTACTACTACAACAACTCCTACTATAACAACTCCTCCTACTACTACTACTACTACTACTACTTGACCTGTTTCATAATAATTTTAAGACTCATTGTATTGATCGCTCGCCCACAATACTGACAACACCTGTAATACCTGTTGAGTTGTTGTTATTGTTGTTGTTTTAAAACTCGTCAGGTTCAATACTTCACCACAAGAAACATAAAACACCGTAATTAAACCACCCCCTTGTGTCCTGTTGTCCCCGGAGTTGAAGTAAAGGGAGACTTTATTCTTTAAAGGGTCAAACAGGTGCTGGTGGTGGAGTGGTGAATGTGCTAATTGGCGTCCGGTTATTTACAGGTTCGAGCCCTCTTCTTGCAGGTGAGTTATACAGGTATGCTTTAACAGACTCTGGCTAAGGCGGGAGGGGAGGGGGGGGGTAAATAATCACCATTGAAGGTAATTTACAACGAAATTTTGACCAGGAGGATATCCGTCCCAAGGTAAAGGATTATTACACGATTTAACTGCTTCGTTTTACAATGTTGCAACGTCGTTTACATTATTTCAACCTTATTTACTTTATTACAACCTCGATTACAACATTACTAGATCATTTACACTATTACAGCTTCGTTTGCAATATTAGTAGGTCGTTTACAATATCACAACCTCGTTTATAATATTACAAGCTCATTTACCGTAATACTCATTTACAAAGTTTTCGGCCACGTTTACAATGCCATTGCCTCATTTACAGTATGTCACTGCCTCCGTTACAACACTCCTGCTCCATTTACAATATCACTGCCTCACTCTCATCATTATTGGGATATTTACGATGACTATATAAGTGTACAGTATTACCTCCTCTTCCCCCTCTCCTGTTAATTAGATACCCACGATAATGACCTTTCAGAAACTCGACAATCATATTTTACTATATTTTAAGTTACCTAAAGATGTTATACGTTGTTAATAGAATACTAAATTTAGCTACCTGAAAATACCATACTTAAAACAACAGAAAAGTAGTAGTAGTAGTAGTAGTAGTAGTAGTAGTAGTTGCTTGAACATGATATACCCAACCAAAATCAAACTGAATGAGGTTGTATTGAACTTGCCTGGAAAAAAACAACAACTATATTCTAAACCTAGTATGAACGTCTAAGTGTCCACATCAAGGCAGATAAACATGAGGCTCACCCATACTGTAAAAAATAAAAGGATTATATATGTAAATTAGAATTAATGTTGTAATAAAATAAATATATATATATCTGTATTTATCTGTTTAATTTACAATAATATTACCTCGTTTACAATATCCTTTTCTTATTTACAATTTTGCCCCATTTGTTATAAAGTTATTTACCAATTTGTAATATTTTCATCTCATTTACAATAACTTTCCAATATTTCAGTCTCATTTACAGTATTTTTTGCCCCATTTGCTATAAGATTTCTTTATAATTTACAATGTTATTTCTTCATTTACAATAATACTGTTATGAGTAATTCGGTCATGGTAGTGAAGATGTAGAAAGCAGATAGACATACAAACAAACACACACACACACACACACACACACACACACACACACACACACACACACACACACATATTAACAGACACACGAATAGGCTGACGACACATAAGAACAGACTGACAGACACAAAAAAGTATAACAGACAAAGACAGACTGATAAAACACACACACTAAGACTGACAAACAAACACAAGACAAACAAACAAACAAACACAAACAGGCATACACAAGACAAACAAACACCTAAATGATTACCTTCATATTACTGTGGACGATAAAATGATGAAAAAAAACACAAAAAAAAACACTGGAATGTTTACTCAACCTAGTGTGTGTCATCTAAACATTCCATTAACATCCTCACCCTGTTATTGACATTCCCAGGTGTCGAAATAAATGTTGTTGTGGTAAATTTTTTTTTTTTACCTGTTTCGTTTGGACAGGTAATGTTATCATTTGCTGGGTCGACACATTCCCACCTGTGATCTCTCTTGTTTCAAAGCTGGAAAACATTGCTTGACTTTCCTTTTTGTCCCTTCCCTTACCTCTCTAACCCACCCCCCTACCTCCCTCACTTGCTAACCCCCTCCCTCCCTTTCTCTCAGCCCCCCTCCCTCCCTCCCTCACTAGCCCCTTCCATCCCTCCCTCCATCCCTCCCTCCCTAACTAGCCCTTCCCTCCCTCCCTCCCTCCCTTACTAACCCCTTCCCTCCCCCCACCTCCCCCCCCAGTACTAATAGGATCCACTCCTCAATAACCTCTGTCCTTATAGGGTCGGAGTTAATTGTTAGTCCTGGAACCCATTAGGATTGGAACCCATTACTACTGGTACCCATTAGTACTGGAACCCAATAGTACTGGAACCCATTACGACTGGAACCCATTAGTACTGGAACCCATTACGACTGGAACCCATTACGACTGGAACCCATTAAAACTGGAACCCATTATGACTGGAACCCATTAGTACTGGAACCCATTTGTACTGGAACTCATTAAAACTGGAAACCATTAGTACTGGAACCCATTAGTACAAGAACCCATTAGTAATGGAACCCTTGAGAACTAAGACACATTAGAACTAGGATCCATAAGCATTAAAACCCATTAGTATTAAGACACATTAATATTAGGACCCATTAAAACCAGGAACAATTTTGCACCAGAACCCATTAGCCCAAAACCCATTGTCACCAAAACCCATTAGTACCGTAACCCATTAGCACCAAAAGAGATTAGTATTAGATCCCATTAACACCAAGCACCATTCATCACCATAAATCCCATTAATCACCACACCATTATCACCATAAACCCATTAACACCAAGACCCATTAACACCAAGACCCATCAACACCATAACCAATTATCACCATAAACCCATTACCACCATAACCCCATCACCACCATAACCCATTATCACCATAACCCATTACCACCATAACCCATTATCACCATAACCCATTACCACCATAACCCATTATCACCATAAACCCATTACCACCATAACCCCATCACCACCATAACCCATTACCACCATAACCCCATCACCACCATAACCCATTATCACCATAAACCCATTACCACCATAACCCATTATCACCATAAACCCATTACCACCATAACCCCATCACCACCATAACCCATTATCACCATAACCCATTACCACCATAACCCATTATCACCATGACACCACAATGAACAGTCACCAATCTTAACACAATCAGCAGGATGTGACGCATTCCTGATATCATGTGAACTGAACCTTGACTTTTTGACTCGACAATAACAATGACAGAGACGAAAGAACTTCTGAGTATCTGCAGAGAAAGTCAACGGTCAATCCAGTGTCAACAAGGGGTTCTAGGAAATGTATTATGAATAGAAAAGGCAATTACATGTCATTTGATGTCGTTTGTTGCTTTGATGTACTGTTATTATTGTTGTTATTGTTATTGTGATTATTATTAAATAGTGTGATAAACGGTACACGTAAACCTTTGACTTCACAACTTTTCATTCACATCAACATTTACCCAATCAAAATTGCTCTTGAGTTAGATATTGATATATGATTGGCCAACATTACTACTACTACCAAGTTTTATAAGAACCTACATAACTGGTCCACTTAAGATACGATAAAAGATGACTTGACAAAGATCCTTAGATAAAAATTTCCTCGTATCTGAAGACTTTACAAGGCGTTTAATTGGACACCACTTGAGGTAAAGCAAAAAAAATACAATTAAAAATATAAATGGCGTAACTATATGGATAAAAGAACATAAAAGTCAGCGTAAGAATCTTGAGGAATTTATTCTTTTGTCCTTGATGTTGACTCAGGTATAAAAATCATGTGTAAAACGAAAGTCGAATAAAATTTTCTTTTCACGACACAAATCTATTTTTTTTTTTTGAGGTCTTCAAATTCCATTACCGGGATGTTTCATGTGGAAAAATGATTCAGTTATACACGAGGGTCTGTATACCTGACGTGGTCCTCGGTCTGGATCAAATGTCTTCTTTAATAGAATTCTTTTTTGGTTTTCAATTCCTTAATAATTTTGCCCGCGTGACTAAGTTTCTTGTTGTGAAAGATGATTAGTTGTGAGAAATATTAATTGAAATCTATATTGGAAGACTTGTTGACAACCACATGCACATATAATAATAATAATAATAATAATAATAATAATAATAATAATAATAATAATAATAATAATAATAATAATAATAATAATAATAATAATAATAATAATAATAATAAAAATAATAGTAATAATAATAATAATAATAATAATAATAATAAAAATAAAAATAAAAATAAAAATAAAAATAAAAATAATAATAATAATAATAATAATAATAATAATAATAATAATAATAGCCCATAGTTTACCATAAGAGGTGCGGTGGCCGAGTAGATACAGTATTCGCTACTATGCTGAGGGTGGCTGGTTCGATCCTCGGGGGGGACTCCCAATCCACTCAGCTCACTATACAGTTAGAAACCTTAAAACAGTGACGTGCAGTGTCGGTCACGCTGCCTCCCTCTGTACCACGTGGGTCCCTAACTTTCATTTATTAATCCTAGACAAGACCCACTACGACTGGGAC